GGGGCTCCCCGAGTTCAAAGCCGCTTTGGGCGGGGCGGAAAGCTTTCTGGGAGCAGAAGTTGTCCTGGGCCCAAAGTTCCCCTTGCAACCCTTTGTCTGTGAGCTGGGCCAGCCTAGCTGAAAGCTCGGGTGGGAGTTAGCGGGGTGGGGGTGGGGGGGCAGGTGGGCAGGAAGGGACAGGATGTGTAGACTGGGGGAAAGTAACTAGGGCAGCTGCGAGGCACCTGGCAGTTTGCAAAGGGCTTTCACCCACGTGAGGACACTTGACTGGTACAGTGGGAAGAGGAGACTCAGGAGTCTGACCCTTGGATTCATATCCCAGCCCCCCCACGTGCCAGTTGTGTGACCTTGGATGACTCACTCAACTCTTTGTCTTAGTTCCCTTATTGGTAAGATGAGGATTGGTGTAAAATGGGGATTGGTAAAGATGAAATATTACATGTTAAGTCCAGTTTGACATATAAATTTCACAGCTGCCATTGCAATCAAACAGTACATCCCCCTGCCTCACCGAATCCCTCACTCTTCCCTGGGCTTGCTCTGCATATTGCCAGGCTTTCCCTCCTTGCAACCTTTGCTGTTTAAGTGAGGGTTAAGACATGGGTGGCACCAGCAAAGGACATCACCAAGGATGAGCAGTGCAGGTCAGGTCATCCTGTATGAGTTCAACTCCCTCCCTCCACCACTTACTATCCTGGACCTTGGACGAATTGCTCACTCTTTATGTGCCTCAGTGTCCTCTCTGTACAATGAGACTTATAGCATGCTCACCCTGCCCCCAGCAGACCTTTTGTGAGCCCCAAATGAGGTAATACATGTAAACTACCAACCACAGCACTGGGTAAGTAGCTAGTGCTCTTTGTTACTTATCCTTTGTGTTGCTTTGCCTCAGGTGGAGTGATGGAGATGCAAAAAGGATTACTCAAAGCCCATTTCATCTGAGCAGTGAGAGACCCTGTAGGGGTTAATTTCCTGGAACCCTCAAGGGAGAGGAATTCTTCCTTGGGAAATTAACCACAAACTGGGGTTCTCTCCCCGTATTTATTTTCCAGACCAGGAAAGTACAGAAAAGGAACATAGGTGGAGTTATGGCTAAGTATAGTTTAACAACAGAGTCTGGTAACATCAGTGAAATAACAAAGTGACATTCCATAATGCAGTTTGCAAAAGGTTAAGTCAATCCACCAACAAAAGCTTGTTCTTAGCAAATGCTGTGTTTTCCTACAGCATTTTCCTCAGTATTTTTACATAACAATAAAGCAACTTTCTTAACATATCAATCAGTAGGTTAACCTGCTCTCAAGGACGTTTGTCCTTGAGAGCCAGCAACTTTGCTGTGTTACAATTCTATATCCACAACAGAGACTTTAGCCTGGGGAAAGTTTCCTGTCTTTTGCAAGCTTAACATTTCTATATGTAATTTTAAAAGGTTAGGTTATACCTGAAACTACAGGGCTTTGGAAACTAGGCCCTGTGAAATACATTTGCTTTATAAATGTTAGTATACTCCACGTTTGCATCACCCATCCATCCTCCAAGGCATAGCCCTAAAACTACATCCTCTGAATTTTCTCCAGTTGGAATTAATCTCCCCCCCACCATCTGTTCTCCCACAGTGATTTCTCCATATGCCAACATTGCAACACTTGGCCCATTCTACTTTGAGGATTGGTCTGATTTGCCCATTGTAAATCCTTGAGGGCAAGGAACCTGATTGGTTCACCTTTGTGCCTGCATAGTATCCAGCACTGGGCCTTGCAAGTGCAGACCTTTTGTGAGCCCCAAATGAGGTAATACATGTAAACTACCAACCACAGCACTGGGTAAGTAGCTAGTGCTCTTTGTTACTTATCCTTTGTGTTGCTTTGCCTCAGGTGGAGTGATGGAGATGCAAAAAGGATTACTCAAAGCCCATTTCATCTGAGCAGTGAGAGACCCTGTAGGGGTTAATTTCCTGGAACCCTCAAGGGAGAGGAATTCTTCCTTGGGAAATTAACCACAAACTGGGGTTCTCTCCCCGTATTTATTTTCCAGACCAGGAAAGTACAGAAAAGGAACATAGGTGGAGTTATGGCTAAGTATAGTTTAACAACAGAGTCTGGTAACATCAGTGAAATAACAAAGTGACATTCCATAATGCAGTTTGCAAAAGGTTAAGTCAATCCACCAACAAAAGCTTGTTCTTAGCAAATGCTGTGTTTTCCTACAGCATTTTCCTCAGTATTTTTACATAACAATAAAGCAACTTTCTTAACATATCAATCAGTAGGTTAACCTGCTCTCAAGGACGTTTGTCCTTGAGAGCCAGCAACTTTGCTGTGTTACAATTCTATATCCACAACAGAGACTTTAGCCTGGGGAAAGTTTCCTGTCTTTTGCAAGCTTAACATTTCTATATGTAATTTTAAAAGGTTAGGTTATACCTGAAACTACAGGGCTTTGGAAACTAGGCCCTGTGAAATACATTTGCTTTATAAATGTTAGTATACTCCACGTTTGCATCACCCATCCATCCTCCAAGGCATAGCCCTAAAACTACATCCTCTGAATTTTCTCCAGTTGGAATTAATCTCCCCCCCACCATCTGTTCTCCCACAGTGATTTCTCCATATGCCAACATTGCAACACTTGGCCCATTCTACTTTGAGGATTGGTCTGATTTGCCCATTGTAAATCCTTGAGGGCAAGGAACCTGATTGGTTCACCTTTGTGCCTGCATAGTATCCAGCACTGGGCCTTGCAAGTATAGGTTTTATTAACCTTCATTCCCTTCCTTAGGGGGAAAGGGGAAAAGAGGGGTGCCTACCTGAAGGTTGGCAGTTGTGTAAGCAGTTGAATAAGACTTGTTTCAAAAGGCCGCTTCCTCCACCTGGTTTTCTCTTCTCTCTCTTGGGACTAGTGTGATAAGAAGAGATTTTCATCTGCCCAGTGGGGTCCAGGGAAGCAGAAGCAGACTTTATTCTGCTTTAAGCCTCGGAGGATGGGTTAGGGGGTGATAACGAAGATGTAGAGAAGTGATCGCGAGGTTAGCAAGATTTGGGACAAAAGACCAGTTCACAGCGCTTAGTCCCTGAACAGGGGCTTCCAGGCCTTGGCTCAGAAAATGCTGCATTCAGGTTTTTACTGAGGACCTATTAACTGCCTGACGCTGTACTAGAGGCTGTGAAGGATTTGAATGGAGTACTTTTGTTCAGTAAGTTTATGGTTTCACTTGGGAGAATAGATACAAATTTGTGAAACACTTAGAAACAAGAGAAAGAATGTACTCAAATGCCAAAATATTGAAATGTAAATGACTTCAGGTTTTATATAGGAAGTGCTATAAACCAAGTGAGGCAGAGCAGTGCCTTCTTCAAGATGGTACCTTCGAGAATCTTGCACACAGCTGATGCTCAAAAAATGCTGTTTTCATTGAATTGAGGAGGTTACACTTGAAATATGTTTTGAGGGATCTAAGTAGACTAGGAACGGGAAGGGCATTCAAACTTCCCTTCTGACATTAATTGGGGAGTGGGCTGACTCCTCCTCACCTTTTTAAGATGTGAATTGATAATCATAGTATCTATCAGACTACTCATTTCAAAAGTGTGGCTTAACTCTACGGCTTCCAGACTGGTAGAAAAGAGGGCATATAAAAGACCTTATAGTAAAATGTTAAACAAGAGACTCATAATCCATTTTACATACCCTTGACCTTTATCACAACAAAATGTCCCATTTTTAGGAACATAGGGAGTGTGGAGTGAGAACAGAAGGGAAGACTACTTTTTAGGTTTATTTCTAGAATTCCTCCATCCAGGAACAGCCAAGTGAAGAGTGCAAACCATGGTCTTGTAAAAGCCTTGAAAAGTCATCTGCATTTATAAAATCCTTAAATCAGTGCTACTCAGAGGATGGTCTGAAACTGGTGCCAGTCTGCAAACTTTATTTCTGGTCCAGATGACGTAAGTAAAAGAATTGAAAGTGTTTAGAAATTTTTGGGCCGGCCCGGTGGCGCAC